TGCGGTAAACGGCATTTGACTCATGAGTTTATTTGACACGAGCAGAGCGAGTGTTTAATAAACGAGTGACTTAAAAAATTTACCAAAAGTGTTGCATACTATACTTTTTCTACGACCTTTAGTTTTCGGGTACATTTTTGCAAAACAACACGAATACATTCACTGGCATCGATAGAATTGACAAACCCCACAGTTCAAGCCGTGCGGTAAAATCTCCGAAAACATCCGATTGGTCCCAAACCCGTGCGGTAATATCCCGGAAATGTCCGAAGGGGCTCAGATTCGTGGGACAAAAAACTCGCATTGTAAAATTATTCTTTCCGCACTCTAGATCGGTGTATAATTAGATATTGCACAGAAGGGAGTAGAAAAATAAATTTCACAATCATAAAATGTCAAATTATATAAAATCGAAACCAAATCTGGTAAATTAAATGCCACTCTAATTTGTTTTCTATTTTTAACGCTTTAACAATGCAGGTAAATTACGAAGAAACCCATTTTATTTAAATTGCCTTCTGGATGAACTTTGTAAAAGAAAATGCAGCATTTGTTTTAGCACCTTTAGCAACGCAAATTAAAAAACGTCTATAAATATGTGACGAAGTTTTGTAATTATGTACCGAGTGGCCCGTATATTATGGAATATTATGGAATGCCCCCTTATCTCAGAAACTGTACGCAATATAAAAAAAAATATAATAAAATATTGCATTTTTCTATTTACGAGAAGTTTGTATTTTCATGAATGACTAACAACTTCCTTATTTTAAATGGAAGCATTTTTGAATTACTCGGAACTTGTTAGCATATTTCATATATTATGTTTTCTATACTTACTTATCGTTTTATGTCAAAGTGGTTTACAGATCTGAATAGATCTATCGATTTTTCCTATTGAAAGCTTTTGTTTTATATTTGGGGTTATAGATTGGCAAACTGTTGCGGTTTACATTGATATTATGAAAATTAATATAGACAATAAATAACTAAAGAAATATAAAAATTGAAAAGTTCATTCATTCAAAAGTCAAAAGTTATTTTTCTCAGTTTTTGCTGAATCGAACTTGCTGACGTTTCGCCAATCATCCTGTTGGCTTCTTCAGAGCTTGACTGAAACTGGCTCGCATTTTACTCTTTACCTGCTTATATATTGTTTGAGGGGGGTGTAAGTAGTTAAGAAGTAGTTAACAAGAATGATAGGGGTAGTCCAATTCAATCCCTTCCACTTATTAAAAAAATGTATGCAGAATTTGTGTTTTTGTTTTCGTAATATTTTATTGTTCAATCTATTCATCTATTCATTCATCGTTTATATAACGAACTAGCTTTTATAAACGACGTATCACCCCCTAAAGTTTTTGGCGTTTGTTTTGAAACACAAATTAAATAAAATGCTTTATCTGAATTCTGAACCGCCAAAGACTTATCTATAACTCATACATATTGTTACATTTAAATACTGTAATATTAGTGATAAAAATCTATCATAGATGACCTATCAACAACTAAAACGCATACAGTTTCATTGATTAGATGTACGTGTTTGCCTAAAATTGAACTTTTTGGTCAAGAATTTTTTATTAAAGTTTTTAACATATATTTTGCATTGTTTCCAAACTTTCAAAACAGAGGAGAGTGAGAGGGAAAAAGACGAGTTTGTTATGTCATTTTAAGGGCAGGAATGGAGCCTGTAAAATTAGCTCCCATTCTAATAAACAAACTTCAATCTTCTTAGCAAAACCTTCATTTACTTAGTGTGCAAATTGAAACTGATTGGGGTTTTACAAAATATTTGCTTGCGATTCAAGAGCGTTTATACTTAATATCCATTGGTATCCGTCTTGGTATGTTGACATGAATTTTAGCAAATTAATTGGAAGCAGTCCTGATGAAGAATTGCATCTATTGAAAATTGTAAAAAAAATTAAAGATTATAAAAATGACTTTTGTTTTCTATTTTTAACGTTTTATTTAAATTATCTGCTGGATGAGATTATGCAAATTAAAAAAAGGTCCGTAGATATGTAGAAAGTGTAATAACAAACATAAAATATTAAAAAAAGTTGCTTTTAAAATATTGCACTTTTATATTTACTGGTTGTTTTTATTTTCGTGAATAGCTATCAACTTTCTTATTTTAAACGGAGCACTCTGTATAGTCTCTCTTGCAAAAATTGAACGATAATGATACCGGACAAGCTGTGGTCGTGAGACTACGAAAATTTCTTTGGAGAAACGGGTTTAAAGAAGAAAGAAATGAAGAGTTGGTCCAAAAATCAACAATAATTCACTGAGGTGATCTTACATCAGAACTATTTAAAGACTATCTTGAGAATATGTTGTTACCAAATGTACCACCAAGTAAAGAATTCCGAATAAATGCTGTAAAAATGGTGTAGCCCATATTTAAAATGTAGATCTGTTGATAAGATGTAAGATTTTCTAATACACCAAATTCCAATCGAAAGCACTTTTTTGGTAGGCAACTTGGCGTAGGTATCTCCCTCGGATTTTGCAAAATGTTGCCTAAAGGTCAGGGAAAGTATTGTTCTATATGCTAACAATGTTGGCTATTGTAGTTGAAAAATACGTAATACACTGCGAGCAGATAAGAGATTATTTTTTACGAGCATATTAAAGGTATTTGTTTTACTATTATGTAGATTTAATGTTTTTATCTGAAAAAGGGAACTCTTTTATTTACTAAATGATGCAAACTGTACAGTGACTATGTGCTTTCTGTTAAGTGATTCACTGGTTCAAAATTGAGCGACGGTTTCTTGTTTGTTTCGTTGTACAACGTACTTAACGCGCAATTTTCATAAAAAAAACTTTGTTACCGCTTCAATAACTGTTATAGGGTGTTTTTTGAAAATTTATATTAAAATAAAAACATTAACTTTGTAAGGTACGAAAGTTCTGAAATGCCAACAAAATAAAATATTGGTTTTATCTTAATAAGAAATATGGCAGAATTTTTAATTTAAGTCAAAATTTCTCAGAAACAAGTCAGAATTTCTGGAAGTTACGTAATAATTTATGAGCTAAGCAACAATTTCCGAAAAATAAGTCAAAATTTATGAGTTATATTAAAATTTTTGAAAAATAAGTCCGAATTTCCGAAAGGCACATCAGAAATTCTTTAGGAATGCTCATTTTTTTATCCTGGAAGTTCTATACACCAAAATATTATCAGTGAGCTCAACCTGCCATGTACAAATGTCACTGGTTTAACTGAAAAAGTTTAAGTAAGTTTTAGTATAACAATGGCCATAGGTTTTTTGACTTGACAATTGCGGAATTAAAAACTTATTTGCTCTTAGAGGACGTACGTTTCTCCGTATTTTCTAGTACTTCCGAAATTCGGATTTGTTTCCCAGAAATTCTGACTTACCTCAGATATTCTGACTTATTTTCGAGAAATTTTGACCTATTCAGAAATTATGTCTCACCTCAGGAATTCTGACTTATTTTCCAGGAAATCTGACTTACCTCCGATATTCTGACTTATTTCCCAGAAATTTGGACATGTTTTTCAGAAATTATGTCTCACCTCAGGAATTCTGACTTATTTTCCAGGAAATCTGACTTATCTCCGATATTCTGACTTATTTTAAAGAAATTTGGACCTGTTTTTCAGAAATTATGTCTCACCTCAGGAATTCTGGCTTATTTTCCAGCAATTCTGACTTACCTCCGATATTCTGACTTATTTTCCAGAAATTTGGACCTGTTTTTCAGAAATTATGTCTCACCTCAGGAATTCTGACTTATTTTCCAGGAAATCTGACTTACCTCCGATATTCAGGCCTATTTTGCAGAAAATTTGATTTATTCTTCAAAATTTATGGCTTACCTCAGAAATTCTGACTTAGTTGTCAGAAATGCTGACCTAACTCGCAAATCCTCATTAAACTAAAACCTATACTTTATTTTTGGTGACCCTTCAGAGCTTTCAACCAAAGCAGCCTTTTACGTAGAACCTAATGGCTCAAATACAATATTTTGAAAAGTGTTAAGAGGTTAAAAACCGAAGTTTCATTAAATTACTATAGTCTACACTTGCTTCCAGTTTGAAAACTAACCAAAACACATTCCGTGTGAAAAAAATTATTCCAAAAAATTTTGTTTTATTCATACTACAATTAAAGGGAAAGTCAGACAGTCGCTCGCTGTTTTGAATCTTATAAATCGTCTCAATAATGTCCCAATACCTTCTTTTTTCCAAATAAAATAGCGCAATCATTAAAACAATTATCGGCAAGGCGGACGGCCGATAAAGACGGAACAAAAATAAACCCAATCACTTTTCTTCGGCCAATAAAATTCGGGTTATATCTCCGGTGATCGGTCACGCCATTACCTCTCCCGGAGAACGACCGGAATATAGCGATAGCTGATTCTCGAAGGGCTTGGCTTTTCCTTTGTAAATCTTTTTACGATAAGGGGGGGGGGGGGCTCAATTAAAAAGCTGTCACTCGCTGCCATAGGCTCGGTCTCCGCCGTTTCGTTTGCCGACATGTTTTTGCGGTTTCCTATTTAATTATTTGATTTTTAATATCTACTACTATGTCTAAAAAGTTAGTCTATTACAGGGTGTCCCATACGTAATAGCTCATGGCAAAATATTAAAATCTTTAGGTGAAAATATTACGATTTAACGAAACTTACCATAGTCAAAAAGTTGATATTAACCTTGAAACAGAATGTCGAAGTTGCAATATCCTTGATTGGTTGATTTTTTTAAACAATTCCTTAAATAATCAATCATTTTGCAGAAAATTTGGCAAATCGGAGTTTTTTGACACGAGCAATTCATTTTCTTGAATAATTTTGGAGCAAAAAGAAGCAAGGCTTGTTTTTAAAAAGCTTTGGTTAGTTTTCCGATAACGCGGAGATGCGCGATGATATGTTTATACGCACAAAAGAATTATAATAATATATTTGAAGATGTTTCCAAACCCAGATTTTATTTTTTTTATGAATATTTATTACAGACTCGGCGAAACTGGTTCGTTCCGACCCAAGAGGGATTCTGTGGGGCGAATAAAAATAATAACAAAGCTAGAAGAGGAAATTTTAGTCCAAGTAAAGTCTATTTATAGATATATTGAAGCCACTAACTGATACGAATTACGGAAAGACCCGGGCAAGCTGTAAGAATGAAATATGGCCGAACAGGTCCGTACTTTGCTTAGACATTTATTATTTGCGGTTTTGTTAGGAAAGATACTAAACAGTATTTATTTATTTATGTATGTATTTATGTTTAAATCTAAAATAAAATTACAAATTATTTTTATTACCTAGTTAAATTACTAAAAATTATTCAGATAATATATCAGTATCACTATCGCTATCATCGCCTGTTCTAATTATTATTTGTTCTATATTATTTGCAATATGGATATACGATTGTTCTGCTTTTTCTATATGTTGGAGGTATGTTAAAAACTTCGGTTTCTATAAGTTTGAGGACATTGGAGTTAACACAGGGAAAAACATTGTTACGACGAATGGCAGATTTCAGTTACAGTGGTAAGGTGGAAGCCTTAAAACTGTATGCCCTAGATTTTTTGCATAATTATCACAGACTAAGTAGTATACCTTTTGTAGGTTCATGATTTGTAGAACCTCAATTAATTGCTTTTTGGTATAATCTTCGTGAAAATAAATATCGTTATTATACATGTAGTTTTGGATTGTTGCTTTTGTGTCACATAAGGAAGGGGTTTTAGTCAACTGTCTACTGTGATAACATGCATTGTCAATTACAATGATGCTATTATGAGGAATGTTTGGAACTAGTTTGTTTTTAAACGCACTTTCTTTTACCTCTTTTTGATAGCGCGTTTGTTTTACACTTATCAGTTGAGTCAACCCTACCCTTTTCCGGGGTATCATGAATATCGAACCAGGTTTCATCCAAGTAAATAATTGGCCTTTGTTGTTCTCTGTAAATCCTAATTTTTTCTAGATATTCCAGTCGCCATTTCCGAATTCTAAAAAATTCCATTAAAACTTGCCTTTTGTCAATTTTTTTAAATCTAAAACCCATGTGTTGATTACACTTCCATAAGGTAGTTCTGCCACATTTAACACCGGTTTCATCGTTTTCAAGCCTCCTAATTAAGATATCTAATGTAGGCACGCTTTGTTCCTCGTATAAATGGTAAATTGTACGCCGTATTATATCTTGATCACTTCCATCTACACTCGAGAAAATGTCAGCATCGCTTCTTTTTTTCCTTGTTGGAATTTTCGTCAATGTGGCCGTTTCTTCTAAGGATGCTTGCATGCTGGCACCACGTTCAATGAGAGTGAAATAATCATAGTTTATAACTTTCAATAGAATATTTCAATAGAATATTGTTTTCTACATTTGAGCGGGAGCATCTCCTGAGATACACTAGACCGGCACATATTTTGCATAATTCGCACACGATTCAACACACGCTGTATTACACACGAAATAAGAATGATTACTAATAAACTTAAACTAGTATACCAAGTAGGTATAAAATTATTTTGTATTAAGGACCACCATTTTATCTGAATTTAAATTCCGAAACTTTGTATGTTAATGACCACCCTTTGATAATCCCATTCAAAAGCAATTGGTCACTTTCATCTATGAACAGAGCATACCTGAAAGTCCAGAAATAAGGTCAAGGTAGTAGGAACCGGAGTGATAAAAACTAAAAACTAGAGTTTGTAGAGTTTTTCACCAAGAAAAGCTCATCACTTTACTCCTGTGCAAAATCTTTTAGACGGTGATCCTCTAGCCAGCAAACTGCCGACCCAAAGTTTTTAAATTAAATAATATTTACAGATGAAGCGACATTTCCACGCAAAGGTGTCTATAACTTTAGAAATTTGGCAACTGAACTCCATTTCCAACACGAATTAAAAATAAACGTTTGGTGCGGAATAACTGACAATTACATGTTGGAGTGCATCGAACTACTAATTCAAACGGCGAGCTGTCGCTCAATTTTTTGCTTAGATTTAAGAGAAGCACGGAGTCTAGATTTCAATTCAATTGATTTTTGTGTTGCGGGTATAAGGAATCGCTAGTGTATGCAGAGATGAATTATGGCACAGGATTGAAAATGCCGCTGAATCATTTGAAAAGGAGAAATTATTATTATAAATCACGCAGTGTTTCAATAAACGTGTCTCTAAGTGCCTCACAGCGAATGGAAATCATTTTAAACATTTATTGCCGAATGGAAATCTTTTTTTTTGTGAACAGTATGTATTTCCATAAAATTGTTTTCATTGACTTCGAAGTTTTTTTGATTTTCTTGTTGTAAAAATCTAAAAATAAATGAATTAAAACGCTGTATATGGTCTGTACTACCATATTAGCTCAGCTTAGGGTTAGGTTACTTTAAAACTGATGGCATAAAAAAATAATTTTAAGTATTACTTAATGATGTAGTGAAAATTTCAATCCCAATTTTCCCAAAAATGACAACTCGTGAATTAATTTATAAGGTGTGGGTAAATAAGGGTGTAAGAAGTGATATCTTTATTAAAAATCTGCTAAATGCGTGAACAGTACCATACGTAGCGCCCTCTACAATTTGACCCAAAATTATTCACGAAATTGGTTTTCTCGTGTCAAACGACCCCGATTTGTCGAATTTTGTGCAAAAAGCTCTATTATTTCAGGAATTATTAAAAATAAAAATCAAAAATGAGATTACAACTTTGGCATCCTGCATGTCGATTAATAACAACTTTTTAACTAATTACATTATTCAATTGCAATGGTCACATTATGAAATAAATTTCCTAATAATTATAAGGTAATAAGATAAGACGGCAAAGGTATTGTAACCTTTTAAATGTATTTTGGTTAGTTTAGGCCTAGCTGATATTTTTCGTCCTATTTCTCCAATGTATTCTTGGCGTATATGCAGGGAATCCTGTAGACTCCTGGTATCTCAAACAGAATTTTATCTTTGGCAAGTCCAAGATTTGTGGCAAATCTGGTTTTAACATTTTATTGTGGTCAGTGATGTTTCGAATTCAATGAAGACATCACAGGGGCTTGTTTAGGAGGTTGTGGCGGAAATTATTAGAGAGAAGAGCAGATAGATCTTTGGTGTTTTAATTTGATTAAGGTATCTGCTTGCGAACTAAATGTTCCAATGTTAAGTCTGATTTTCTATTAATAAGAATATCTAAGAATGGAAGATAATTATTAGTTTTTTTTATCGTTACTTTACTTTAGTAAAATAATATTTGTTAAATATTGGGGAATTTAAAAAACAGAAAAATTGTTTTCTGTCGAATAATTGACGAATTAGTCGCAAATTTAAGAACCACTTCCTGGGTAGAAATAACAGAATCGGCGAATCAAATCGTTATTTTTGGTGAATTGGAGTATTGCGTCACTTAAATTGTTTAGGCGTTGACCTTGAACAACTAGACGGAGATTTGCGATTGTTTTACAAGTGTAACGAATGCTTGTGACGACACAAGCAAAAAAATGTTGCTAAATGTATATGCGAGAATATATGTAGTAACAATCGCGCCCGGGGTATGTTAGAAGACATTGAGTTTTATCTTATTGTTGTTGTAACTTTGTAATAAGTTCTGTTGATATTATTATGACTCCCGGTCAAGATATAAATTCGCAACTGACATGATGAACGTGATTTTTTTTTCGTTGTATTTAATTTGAAATCTTAGACTCATTTCCCGAATAAGGTGATCCTTAAGTTGTGTTTTATTAAATTATAAATTGCATAAGTATGAAACTGGTTTATGTTATGCCGTCGAAGAAACGGGTCAAATTGCGTGTACTTTTATTTCTTTGCTATTATTACTGTAGTTTTTAAATTTAAAGTAATATAGTTCTGAGTGCTTGTTGCTTGATTAATTGGGGCTGCATTATTGGTTAGCCGTGGATATTTTCTCTTCCCAATTCTATGAAACCGGAAACGGAATTCAGTTGTTTTTATGATGCAAATGTTCACAACATTTAACCCTATCAACATACCAAATTTCACGTTTTTATCTCAAGCATTTTGAAGTGCCTATCGAAAGTCTTAGGACAATTTATTACATTCTATTTCATTACATTTCTACATGGTATCATTATTAGTATACAAAATATTAAATATAGTAAAAATAAAGTATCAGTCATTAAAAAAATCGTCACTATTGCTACTGTCGTCATCTGGTTCAATGAGTGACTCGATAAATATTTTCTTCTTTTATTACTCGTTTTTCACAGTTAGTCCAGCTTTGTACTGATATTTTAGCAACCTCTTGCCGAATTACGTAATATTAACGAATATATTGCAATGTATATTAAACTCTTAAGAGCGATAAACGCTTTTACTTATTCGAAAATACCCCGCAGCATCAGTGCTTAAAACAGTCCATTAACGTTTCCAATAAAAATTTCAAGTATCTACAAATATTCGTTACGGTCCATCTCAGGCAAGACCTACTTAATGCAGAACAAAAACCAAAACAAATCAATAAATGCACTATATTTTTGGTCTACAATACCTATACGTATTTGTTATTTATCAGGTGTAGAAATATTGGTGAAATATATGGACAGTTGTGTCAATTGCTTCTGATTTTATAGAAAATAATCTCCGCTCAATATCTTCCATACTAGCTAATACAAAATTAAAATAATCCTCAGGTGTCTGGAACTGTGTTTTTAAGTTTTAAGTGTATATTTAGGTCTCGTACAACAGGAGTTTTTTTATATTTAGTATATGCTTAAGTTTATGAGTATACTTACTCAGCTATCCATTATTATTAATATTATTGGTATATAATATATATTACGGAACGGAATAGGAAATGACGAAAATGTCTATAAATTAAGACAAAATGTTTCTGTCTACATATTTGAATTTTCGGTTTCAGTTTATAGGTAAATTATCACATACTTGAAGAGTAGGATCGACTTAAGTACATACTAATTTTAATAACAGTTGGCTATTATTGACTAAAATCTTTGTATCAGTGTGTTGAATAACTTAATCAAAAACTGACTAGATCACTGATATATCCGCACACTGATTATTCTTCAGCAGTTTATTGTCACTGTTTGCTTCAATCTCTGAATTTACAGGATTATGTTCTTATTTGGCAACTTATATTTTGAATAAAATGTTACCTTATCCGTCTTTTCCAATTTCATA